CGCCCAGCGGCAGCTGGGGCTTAGTCGCCGCTGCCAGTGCTGTGGACGGGGAGCCCCCAGACTCCAGGGCCGAGATGCGCAGCGCCCCGCGGCTGCTGGTGCTGGCGCTCCTGCTGGGGGCGCACCCAGGTATGCTCGGGCTAAGAGCAGGGCGCGCCGGGGAAGGTTTTCTGAGGACCCCTGGGACTGAGGGGAAAGGGACTTTCACCCACCCCAGGAAGCCAAATCTGGGGAGCCCAGGAAGGAGGGATATGGGAGCATGGGAGGCGTCCCTCCCAGTGAGAGATGTGGGGATAGCCAGGCAGAGGAGCTGGGGACTCCACAGCAGTGGGTAAGAGACCACCTGAGAAGTCAGAGCCCCCTCCCCACTCAAACAAACGCAGGAGTGCAGGCCCTCAGCCCCTGGATCTGGGTCCTGGGCCCCTGCCCCCACAGACCCAGGGGTCCAGGCCTCCAGGGGCTGGAATGGCTTTCTCCAGGGCCCAGGAGACCAAAAGCCCAGGGCACCCCTCCTGAGAGTGTCTCAAGTTTTGAGAAGACCAGGGACCCTATAGCTAGAAACCAGGGAGTCGTGAGCATTTGAGGGTTTCAGAGCCCAGACTCTAAAGAGCCCACCTCCCTCTGGGAAGGACTGGAGCACCAGTCCTGGACAGTGACAGTGGAACAAAGCGTTTCCAAGTGACAGTGCACCCTTCCTGGGGCCCCAGATCAGTCCACACACCTGTGTGGTGGTGGGAGCGGAGGAGGCCCCTGAGGGCTGGCAGCAGAGGGACAGAGAGACAGAGGGACTGGGGAGGAGAGGGCAGTCCTTCTCATCTGCCCTTGCTCTCTGCTACTCAAACCCAGCTCCAGGCAGCAGCTTGGCCCCATGCCCCCTCCCCTGGGACAGGCTGGGGCCAAAGATGGGTGCCTGGGAATGCAGGCCCCTGGCATAAGCATGGCAAATAGTGGGTCTCCAGGGGCAGGGATGGGCCAGGCTGGGCGGGAAAGGGAAGGGAGGTTCTAAGAAATGAGAGCTGGTGCCAAGATGCCAGCCGAGAGGGTGAGAGAGCGTGGTTTCCTGATGAGAGCAGCTCTATCTGCCAGGACCTTGGGACAAGAGTCCAGGCCCAGCCACCTACTCCCCCAGGACCCAGGAGACCAGGCCCTCAGTCCCTCCTCCCTCCGACCCAGGATGTGGGGCCTCAATCCTACCCTGTTCTGAGGTGACGCACCTTCCCCCCTTCCTCACCTTAGCCCTTCCCTGCTCTATCAAAGAGGCAGGGGGGCCACGGGGCGAGTAGGGGGCTCTGGCGCCAGGCCGGGCATGTCTGAGCCAGCCTGTCCCTCCCACATTCCTGAAACCTGCCCAGCCCTGTCCCCCCTTATCACCCCCACACACCGTTCTTGCCTCAGCTCCAGGCCCAGCCGCAGCCCACACCCCACCTCAGCCCCCCATTCATGAGGGAGAGGCCCAGAGGCGGAGAAAGATGGAGACTGAGAATGAAGGGCTCAGAGAGACAGAGAGGCAGAGACAGTGGAACTGAGAGAAGGAGCCGCAGGATGAGAGACACAGGGGCAGAGATGGAGACATTTAGCCCATGTCACTGTGTGCCAGGCCCTGTGTAGGGTGAGAGGCAAAGGGATGGGCCAGCCTTGGCCCTGCCTTTGAAGGGTGTTTGGTCTAGTGGGAAAAGCAGGGACAGGTGCAATGTTACCCCAAGAGAATTGAATGGAGGCCACTGGGGCCCTGTGTGGCCAGGGGAGGAGCCCTTAGTTCTGCAAGTGAAGGGAGAGATGGAGACAAATGCTGATAGGGTCCCAGTTCAGAGACACAGAGATGAGAGATGGAGGGAGACAAGAGCTGCTGAGTCTGAGGGAGGAGAGGCTGGGGGCCTGGACTCCTGGGCCTGAGGGAGGAGTGGGCTGGGGTCCTACACTCCTTTGCCCTGGAGGAAGAGGGGCTCTGTCTAGAGGGCTCTCCCTATTGGCGGCAGTGGGCAAGAGCTCAGTTGCTCTCTTGCAGGTGCCCAGGCTAAGATGAAGCTGTCTGTGCCCCCCCTGGTGGAGGTGATGAGGGGGAATCCCATCACCCTGGACTGCACCCCTTTGGGGGACCATAAAGAGTTCTTGCTGAAATGGTTCCTGGTGAGTGCTTCGGGCTGGGGACCAGGGGCTAGTGGGGGGGGATCTGACAGTCAGACCCCAGTGAGGCTGCAAATATTCATTTCTTCATCAGAATCCGAAGGACCCTAAGAGCGCCACCTAGCTGCCTATCCATTTACAGCTTGGGGAAATTGAGGCCCAGCAAGAAAAGGCTGGTGTCCAGCCCGGCTGAGACTAATCCACCTTCAAAGTGTGGCTCTTGAGAGAGAACATCCAGAGACTGACACCAAGAAAGCAAGACGGGGGTGGTGGGACTAAAGAGAGAGGAAGGGTAGAGAAAATAGGAAGCAGAGAGACAGGGTGGGAGAGGGAGAGGGATGGGAGCAGAGTAAGATGGAGAAGAGGAAGACAGAGAGAGGAAAACGGAGAACAGATATGCAACAGGGGCTGGAGGGGGTGGAGAGAGGGACAGAGGGACCAGAGAGAGATAACAAGAGGAAAAGAGGCAGAGCCACAGAGCGGCAGAAAGAAAGGGACATGGAAAGAGACAGAGATGCTGAGAAGGGTGGCTGGGGAGCCTGCGCTGAGGCCCTCCCTGCCCACAGGTCGACCGCTCTGGGGCCCGCCACCTCCTGGCCGAGGCCCAAGTGCAGGGCTTGGAGGTCCAGGCCACGGTGCACAACTCCTGGAGCCGCAGCCCCCCATACCAGCTGGAAGGCCAGGGGCACCTGGTGCTGCCGGAGGCCCAGGTGAGCGACCAGTGGGACTATGTATGCATAGTGACAGCAGGGGCAGCGGGCACTGCCAATGCCACCTTGAAGCTTCAGGTATTTGGTGAGTGTCTGTGGACAGCCCAGGGAAGGGTGCGGGGCAGGGGAGAGCCCAGGAAGGGGTTCCTGACGGTAACCTCTCCCCCATAGCAAAACCAGAGACCACCGATGTCTCCCCCAACCAAGGGATACTGTCTGTGACCGAGGACCTTGCCCAGGAGGTACCTTGGACTGACTTTGATTCCAGGGTCTTAGGGGAAGACAGGGCTGGGGGCCTAGAATTTTGGCGCACAAGGTTGGAGGGGGCAGGGGTGCCAGACTTCTGCATCCTGGGGGAGGAGAGAGCTGGGGGCCCAGAATCCTGGATCTGAGTGGGGAGAACTTCTGAGGAGACAGGGAACCCAGAGATCAGAGTCCTGGCTCAGCCCAGGGCCATGCCTGTGTCTGCCTCAGATCGCCACCTGCAACAGCCGCAACGGGAACCCGGCCCCCCAGATCAAGTGGTACCGGAATGGGCAGCTCCTGCAGGTGCCCATGGAGGTGAACTCAAGTGAGCGGTGCAGGATCCCAGCTAGAGTGGGTGGGGCGGCATGGTGGCCGGGCCTGGCTCACGGCCCCCTCCCTCCTTCCCAGGCGGCTACATGACCAGCCGCACAGTGCGGGAGGCCTCGGGCCTGCAGTCTCTCACCAGCACCCTGTACCTGCGGGTGCACAAGGAGGACCGCAACGCCAGCTTCCACTGCTCGGCGCACTATCGCCTGCCCCAGGGCCGGCACGGCCAGCTGGACAGCCTGCCCTTCAGCCTCAACCTGCACTGTGAGTCCACACCGGCCCGACCTCCCCGACCTTGGACTCCACGCCTCACTGAGGCCTGACCCTCCACGCCAACCTTGGCCGCGCACTCTGACCCTCCATCCCCCTACCTTAGGCTGAAATATCACCTCAAGGACTAGCACGAGCCACACCTGACTTCTGAACCCCCCCCATAGCACTCAACCCGTGGAGTTTAACGACTAAACTCTGTGCCGCGCCCACACCGCCTGCCTCCCGCCCTCCCCCTTAGATCCCACGGAGCACGTGCAGTTCTGGGTGGCCAGCCCGTCCACCACAGAGGGCTGGGTCCGCGAGGGCGACTCTGTCCAGCTGGTCTGCCGTGGGGACGGCAACCCCACGCCGGAGTACACGTTTTACCGCCTTCAGGTGACTCAACCCATCCTTCCTTTGGCATTCTGGCCCCTGACCTCCGTGACATACTGACCTGTATTTCTAATCCTTTACCTGGTGGTCTTGGCTTAGCAAGGCACCTGGCCAGTGACTTAGGAGCTAACAGGACTTCTGACCCCCAACTTGAGAGAGTCCTCATTAAGCGTGATCCCTGACTCGGGGGACCTCTGGCCCAGCCAGTCTGCTGCCCCCTTGCCTGAGCGGGCTCTGACCTAATATGACACTGCCCTGGAGACCCTGACCCTGCCTGGCTCTGACCTGGGAGGCCCCTGGCTTGGCATGTCCCCACTGGACCAGGGTGGCTTCTGAGCAGGGTTCCTCATCCTTCCTCACCCAGGACAAGGAGGAGAAAGTGCTGAAGACAAGTCTTCAGGGGAACTTGACCCTGGAGCGGGTGCAGCGGGGCCAGAGCGGGACCTACGGCTGCAAGGCAGAGGAGTTTGATGCTTATGAGTATTCGGAGCTCTCCAAGACTCTGGAGCTGCGCGTGGCCTGTGAGAGCCCTGGGAGAACCTGAAGGGGGGCCCTGGCATCAGCAGCCTCCTCTCCTTCACCCCCGCAATCCTGCCTCCAAATTTACAGTTCCTGCTTTGGTCCAGATGCCTCCTTTCCTCTCCCCCCGCCCCCGGTGACCCT